GAAACAGCTAATGGAGATTTAGTTTAGAAATTAGAAGTAACCTGAATAATGTCTTTAATAAGTAGGTGTTTTTCTGCCATCTAGTGGGTAAAGTAGAGATAGACGGTTGAGTGTATTTTAGTATTCAGCATTTGTCATAGAATGGTAACGTAGTAATGGTCAATAAACAATATGCATATCTTGGTTAATTGTTCATAAATTATAAAGATAATCATGATCATGTTTGGTAAGCATATTTAATAGATTTGAATAATAACTATAATTAATTGAAGCAATAAATTCTAATATTTGATTCCTATTCAATAAATGATGCTGGGAGAATTGGATAGCCACATGTAGGAGATTGAAACAAGATCCATATCTCTCACCAACACAAAAATTAATTCAAGATGGATAACAGACTTAAATCTAAGATATGAAACCATAAGAATTCTAACATAAAATGTTGGAAAAACTCTTCTAGATATCGGCGTAGGCAAAGAATTTATGAAGAAGACCCCAAGGGCGATCACAGCAACAACAGAAGTAAATAAATGGGACTTGATTAAATTAAAAAGCTTCTGCATAGCCAAGGAAACAATCAACAGAGCAAATAGACAACCTACAGAGTGGGAGAAAATATTCACACACTATGTATCCAATAAAGTGCTAATAATAAGAATCTGTAAGGAATTCAAGCAAATCAGCAAGAAAGAAATCAAACAACCCCATTAAAAAGTAGGCAAAAGACATGGACAGAAGCTTTTCAAAAGAAGATAGACTAATTGCCAATAAATGTATGAAAAATGTTCAACATCATTAATTATCAGAGAAATGCGTATCAAAACGAAAATGAGATATCACCTAAGCCCAGTGAGAAGGGCTTTTATTAAAAAGTCCCGAAACAATAGATGTCAATGTGGATGTGGAGAGAAAGGAACACTTACACACTGTTGGTGGGACTGCAAACTAATGGAACCTCTATGGAAAATAGTATGGAGATTCCTCAGAGAACCAAAAGTAGACCTACCGTTTGATTCAGCAATCCCACTACTGGGTACTTACCCAAAGGAAAATAAGTCATTGTATCACAAACAAAAACAAAAACAAAAACCACTTGCACTAGAATGCACATTCTCAATCGCAAAGATGTGTAATCAATCCAGGTACCCATCAATTCATGAGTGGATTAATAAAATGTATATGTACACCATGGACCATTATTCAGCCATAAACAATGAATTAATACCTTTTGCAACAATGTGGATGGAACTGGAGACCATCTTCCTAAGTATTGCAAGAATGGAAAAACAAACACCACATGTGCTTACTATTAAATTGGAACTAACCAATCAGTAGTCATGCTCACAGATGGAAGTAAAATTCAATGGAAATCATGCAGGTGGGAGCGGGGAGGAGGGAATTGGTAAAATCCTACCTAACGGGTACAATGTACACTGTCTGGGTGATGGGCACACTTATAATTTTGACTCAAGCAGTACAAAAGCAAACCACGTAACCAAAACACCATACTGAAATAAAAAAAACAAAAGTTAAAAAACCTTATATATCTAATCTCAAAAAAATGTATAGTGATCAGATTAGGGTAATTAGCATATCCATCATCTCAAACATTTATTGTTTCTTTGTAACGAGAACATTCAATCTCCTCCTTGTAGCTATTTGAAACAATATATTATCATCAACTATAGTCATCCTACAATGTTAGAGAACAATAGAATTTATTTCTCCTAAAAAAATATTTGAGAGAACATGGATTTTGGAGTTTACCTGTGTTCGTATTTCATTTCTACCCCAGAACTACTGTCTAACCTTAGGCAGGTTACTTAACCTTTCTAAGATTCAGATAATGTAGCAACAACTACATGGGTTGGTGTGAATATTGAGTGAGATAAACCATATAAAGTGCTTATCA